AGAGGAGGAGACACACAGCCCAGAAAGACAGAGAGCCTCAGGTATCTGGCCAGGAAGCCCCCCTAACCCCCACAGCCTTGCAACCAGACACCTGGTGGGAACCAGACCTCGCTGTCCCCAAGACAAAAATACCATCGTGGCTGCTGGGGCCAGACCTAATTATAGCCATCCCTAGGGGACAGAGGCTGCTAGGATTGTCCTAGTGGGGATACTGGAGCCAAGGCCTGAGCAGTCTTGACACCACCTCCCCGCCACTGTGAGAGAAGTGACAATAGTTACATGTCCCCAAGGAGAAACCAAGGCACAGAGATTCAGCCCCTCCCCCAAAGTCAAAGACATAAAATAGGAGGCTAAGACTAAACAAAATGATATAAACTGAGTGCCTCAAAAACATGCAGCACTCAGCCAACAGCAGTGAAGGGAAAAATCATTGGATTTTCAGACGAAACCTGCAAAATGTGGACTACTGTTCCCATTTCGAGGATGGGGCTACTGAGGCACAGAGAGGCACAGTCATTTGCCCAAGGACACACAGCCATAAGGTGCAAGACTGGAGTCATTTGAACCCGGACAGGCGCTGTTCTTCCCAGCCTGGGTTCTCCCGCACTGGATGTGTTAACTCACTTCATCCCCTCTGTAGTCCCAGGGGCGACTCCCACATTAATATTTTATCAATAGTTTTACTATTAATGTTTCATTCATAGACTTAATTTTAAATATTTTATTAACAGTGCTAACAAGAAGGTGTTAATTAATAGCTGTTTGGATGGAGAAAGAGTCACAGCAAGGGGTGGCCACAGAGCCAGGACTCAGCGTTCAGAGTCTCGCTCCTACCTGACCCTGGGACGCTCTCCAAGCCCCGCTGGGTAAAGAACAAAAGTCGAAAGAGGTTTGGACAGAAGCACCCCCACCCTGACTCCGTCCCTGCATGACTGCATGACCTGCAGAGGTGCCCAGTAGTGTCTGGTGCCTTTATTTTTATTTTTAATTTAATTTAATTTATTATTATTATTTTTTTTGAGACAGAGTTTTACTCCTGTTGCCCAGGCTGGAGTGCAATGGGGCAATCTCGGCTCACTGAAACCGCCACTTCCTGGGCTCAAGCAATTCTCCTGCCTCAGCCTCCCAGGTAGCTGGGATTACAGGCATGTGCCACCATGCCCAGCTAATTTTTTTTTTCTTTTTTTGGTATTTAGTAGAGATGGGGTTCACCATGTTGGTCATGCTGGTCTTGAACTCCTGACTTCAAGTGATCCACCTGCCTCGGACTCCCAAAGTGCTGGGATTACAGGTGTGAGACACTGTCCCTGGCCTTACTTTTTTGAGACACAGTTTCACTCTGTCACCCAGGGTGGAGTTCAGTGGCGCGATCTTGGCTCACTGTAACCTCCGCCTCCCAGATTCAAGCGATTCTTCTGCCTTAACTTCCTGAGTAGCCGGGATTACAGGCATCTGCTGCCATGTGGAGCTAATTTTCGTATTTATAGTAGAGACAGGGTTTCACCATGTTGGCCAGGCTTGTCTTGAACTCCTGACCTCAGGTGATCCGCCTGCCTCGGTCTCCCAAAGTACTGGGATTACAGGTGTGAGCCACAACGCCCACTCTGATGCCTTTAGCACGCTACTGCCTCAATTTCCCCCATTTGAATGTCCCTTCTCTGGGCAGGCACTTTTCCCCACGGCCACCAGGTGGCCCCAGAGAGTTTTTTAAAATGGGTGTTTTGCCCATTTTACAGATAAGTAAACTGAGACGTGGAGAGGGCAGATAACTTGCCCAAGTCCCCATGGAGAAGTCAAGCAGAATGAGGAGGGTGGGGGCCAAGTCACATGTGTAGATGCTCACATGAGTCAAATCACATACTCCTTTGCTCCGGACCCTCCCATGACCCCCCATTGCCCTCAGATCTGAATTCACACCTCCCCAGAGGTCCCATGTGGCCCATCCCCGCCTCACTTCTCTAGGCTTATGCTGTTCCAGTCTCTCCCCACTCCTCACTGTTGCCTGAATCAGCCAGGCTTATTTCCACCCCATGGCGCTTACCTGAATGCTTGCCGCCTGCTGATGCTTTGTCTTTTGGGTTACAGTCAGAGTCACCTCCTCCGAGAAGTCCTCCCTGACTAGCCAGGTAAGTGCCTCGGAGCACCCTCCAGCCATGGGTACAACTTCACATTTATTGTCATGATTATTTGCCTGTGAGTCCCTGGAGAGCAAGGCCAGGTCTGCCTTGTTCCCTGCTGTTCTCTCAGTACTTGGCACTTAGTAGATGCTCAATAAACGCTTGTAGCGGCTGGATGTGGTGGCTCTTGCCTGTAATCCCACACTCTGGGAGGCCAAGGTGTGTGGATCACTTGAGATCAAGAGTTTGAGACCAGTCTGGCCAACATGGTGAAATGTTGTCTCTACTAAAAATACAAATATTAGCCAGGTGTGGTGGTGAGCACCTGTAATCCCAGCTACTGGGGAGGCTGAGGTAGGAGAATCGCTTGAACCCAGGAGGCAGAGGTTGCAGTGAGGCAAGGTTGTGCCACTGCACCCAGCCTGGGCAACAGAGTGAGAGATGCCGTCTAAAAAATAATAAATAAATAAATAAATGCTTGTAGCATAAACAGAGAGCCTCTCCTTCCATCCTCCAGCCACAGTGATACGTTTTCAGCTCCTCACATGCCTGATCCTCTTGAGTCTGAGGCTTTGCACATTCTGTTCCTTCTACTTAGAATGCCCTTCTTGCACTCACCCTGGCTGACCTCTTTTCTCCTGCAGGCTAAGCTTAAATGTTACTTCTCCCAAGCAGTCCTCCCTGACTCCCACCCCACTGCTGAGTCTGGAGCCTCCTCTGTGCTTGTTCTCTGATCTTTCTCCATCACCCTGTGCCTTCTCCACTTGGTGTGAGTGTCTCCACTATAAGCCTTAGGGGACACAGCTTCTTGTCCATGGTTGTGTCTCCAACACAGGGCCTTCCACCCATTAAGTGCTTAAATGCCTTCTGAACGAAATGCTTGGACCCTCCCATACCCCTGTGATCCATTTGAGGCTCTGGGGAAGCACAGTCCTCCAACAGTTTCTAGGGTTGTGAAAAGAGCCACAAGCTGGGGACCCAATGTGTACCAGGCTCAGGCACAGAACGTTCATCTCACTGATGAGGACGCTGAGGCTCTGGGAGGCACCACCGCTTGCTCAACACTACGCAGCAGGTTGGCCTTGGGGCCTGGCTTTGAACTCGGTTTCTCTGAGCTTCCCCCTGGGGTGAACTCTTCCCCTCATATCAGCACAGAGAAGCACAGTGGGCCACATGCATGCACACCCACATGTGTGTGACTGCAGTGCACATGATGCGCAGAACGACATGTGTGTGCACACGCACACGTGCACAGGGACACCCAATCCACCGCTCCTGCCTCCCAGAGCCAAGCGGGGGCTTCCCCCAGAAGAGCTCATACCAAGGCTCTGTTTGTTCTTTCTTGAAAATGGAAAATCATGAGTCACCAGAAGGGATGGGGCAGCAGGAGCTAGAAGCCGGGGTGGGAGAAGGGGCTCCTGGGTCACCTGAGAACAGCTCCAACCCCTCTGGGCCGTGGGAACCATCTACCTGAGATGCCTCCCAAGCTGCTGGAGGGCCAGGCTGGGGGCGAGAGGCCAGGCTTGCTGATGGAGTCAGAAGCCAGTGGCCCCTAGGGGATCTCTGCACCAGGACGCTAGAAAGCCAAGCTCCAGGGCGGGGAAGCAACACTTTCAAGGCCACCCAGCCTGGACTGAAACCTGGGATGCTGGACCCACTGACTTGGCTCTCCCTCCAACCTAAGGAGGGCTTGGAGTTCCTGGACCCTCCTCCCTGGCCCTGGAGCCTCCACCTGGTAGCTGGAGACCCTTATGTCAGGCCTCCTGAGGATTCTACATTATTTTTCCATGAGTCTCTTATTCTGTCTCTGTCCTAACCCCACCCCACTCAGCTTACACGAAACAGGAGAAGCAGCCCCTCCTTAAACGAAAGAAACCTCCGGTGCACAAGCTTCCCAAGGGACTTCCCTTCCTCCTACAGGGGAGCCGGGTGGGGTGATGGAGCGGGGGGGCGGAGGAGGTAGCAAGAGGAGGCTCCTCCCCGCAACACTGGTGGCAGCCTGCCCTGGCTCTTATATATCTATAATATATGAAATAGGCTGAGTGCAGTGGTTTACACATGTAATCCTAGTACTTTGAGAGACTAAGGCAGGAGGATCACTTGAGGCCAAGAGTTCAAGACCAGCCTGGGCAACATGGCAAAACCCCATCTCTAGCAAAAATACAAAAATTAGCCAGGCGTGGTAATATGCCCCTGTAGTCCCAGCTACTGGAGACTGAGGTGGGAGGATAGCTTGAGCCTGGGAGGCAGAGGTTGCAGTGAGCCGTGATCAAGACACTGCACTTCTACCTGGGCGACAGAATGAGACTCTGTCTCAAAAATCAAAACGTGTGTGTGTGTGTATTTATATCCAAGCACCCCAGGGTTACCTCGGGTGCTTGAGGTGATCACAAACCTCCCCCACAGGCCTTCGGACATTCCACAATGCTGAAAACCTTCGGACCCCCAGCCGTGTTAGCGCAAGGACAGTCACAGTCAGTCACACACCAACAGGCACCACAAGGGGAGACACCCCGGCACACCCACAACTACCTGGGACACATGGAATCATATCCAAGCATGTAGGCACAGGAGCACCCCAAACACATCTGGTCACCCCAGTCTCACGCGCGAGCGCGCGCGCGCGCGCACACACACACACACACAGTCTTTCGGTCCCAACCGCACGTGGGCACACCCGGTCACACAGACCCACAAGCCATGATGACACCAGCACCCTCAGCTCCACCCCTAAGTAGAAATAGCTTTTTCCTTCCAAGCGCCAGCTTCAACCAAGCAGCGGAGACCCCCGCCCCCTGGAGAAGCAAGGACCCTCCCCCACTCCCGCCAGGCCCCGCGCGCCCCTCCCCCGCGCTGCAGGAGGCCCGTGCCCCGGCCACCTACCGCCTGCAGGAGGAAATGGGCCAGGAAAGCCGCGACTTCCCGAGCCCGGGCCGCGGGCTCAGGTCCCGCTCGCGGCAGCCCGCGGACTTGTCCGGATCCGAATAGAAGCGCTGTTGGATGCGGATGGGGCGCCGGGGTTGCCGCCACAGGTGCTTTGGGGCTCTGGTCATGCTGTGGCGGCCGCGAGAGCGACTCAACCTGCTGCACACCTCTGCCCCTTCGCTGACCCCCAGGGTCTCCATGGCCAGAGAAAGGGGTCTGGGATAGCAGGGAGCAGGAGTCGTCCCCGTGAGCGGACGCCGAAGAGCGTCTGCTCTCGGGTCTGGCCCAGGGCCGGGAGTGGAGGCGACAGAGAGGAGCTGTCCGCGCCGGAGGTGCTGAAGCGGGAGAAGGTGGAACGGGGGCTCAAGGAGGGGCCGAAGCCGAGGAGCTGTCGATGCCCAGATGGTGCTGAAGGGTAGAACAGGGGAAAAGAACGTGGCGAGGGGTGTTGAAGCTAGGGGCTGAAGAGACCCCCCACCCCAGCCCTGAGAACCGTCTGCCGTTCCCTCTAGCGCTGCATGGGAAAGAACCAAGACAAGGACTTGGAGTGGAGAAGATAGAAATTGTCCACTGATCTCTGCTAAATGGAGAGCAGGGAGACAGGGTCTCAGGAGACCCCCAGGGCCGAGTCGCTGTCCCTCGCACCGTGCTGAAAGAGAAAAAGGTAGCTTTAGGGGCTGTGGGTGGATGAGACGGCGAGGAGCTGTCCGCGACCTGATGGTGCTGAGGGAAGGGGAGGGAGATAGGGGTTCAGAAGCACCCCCCAGACCAGGGCGTCATCCGCCCAGGAGGTGCTGAAACCTGAGCAGTGTCGGGCCCTCAACCTTCCCCAGCAACAATGGCAACAAGGAGTCTGGAAGCAGAGTCAAGGGTCTGGTCTTTGGAGGTACGTACAGATAGCGGTCTTTCTGCCAAGCCCAGGAAGGTAGGCTCCGCGGTTCAGCCCCAGAAGGGGTCTCTTTGGAGCCCTAAAACCCCCACCCATGCCACGCAGGGATCTGAGAAGGACAGGGAAATTGGCAAGGCTGTGACGGGGCCTCCCATGTCTGGGATGGGCACACAGAGGCTACCTCTGACTGGAGCTCCAAACAGCTACCAGTAGGGATGGGCAAAGAGGGGAAGTCAGGTCTCTCTAAGAAACATCCTAGTTCTGCTTCTAAGATCCTCCCCACCCCAAAGCTATGGTGCAGCTCAGTTGGGGGAGGACTGGCAGAAAACCCACCTTTTGTGGAAGCTCAGGACAGGCAGGAGGAGTATCTCTGAGACTCTCATGCTTTTAAAGCCGCAGCAACACTCAGACCCTCAGCGGAAATGGCAGGATCTCATTCGCCCTGAGAAAGTCCCAGGCCCCACCTCACAGCCATGATTCCTGCCCCCAAACCCCAAGCCTGCCCCTCCCTCCCAGTTCTGGAAACTCAAGTCCCCACCCACCAGGCATCTTAGTCTCAGGGGTAATTTCCTGGGAAGTGCAAGGATGGGTGAGAACATTTTCCATCATGGTTAACTGAAGTAGGCATGAACAGCAGCAGGGCTGGGCCAGTGAGTGTGGTGCAGAAAGAGGTAAGATTTCATAGTCCCAGGGTCATGACTCGGTGGAGGCCTCCTGTGGGCTCTGGGCTTGGGCAAGGAGTGATTTGGGGCCATTAGGGTGCCACTTACTGCAGCAGATTTGGGAAGAGCCCCGATGTTTTTGGAAGTCTCAGAAGCACTCTACAGGGTCTTCCCCATGGAGACCATCTCCCAGCGACCCCAGCCATGTCCCCAGCCTGGAGAAAAGGAAAATGTTTAGACCAGGATGTCAGAAAGACTGAATTCAAGCCCAGTACCATCATGTCTTGCTGTGTGACGCATGACAAATGACTCCCTCTCTGTTTTATGCTTCTGTGGTTCAGTCCCTGTTCTCCACCCCTACACCACCCCCAAGAACTGACTGTGGGAGACAACTTGGCTCACTGGTGAGGTACATGGTCACTGGCTGGCTCTGTCACTTCCCCACCCAAAGCCTTTTTTTTTTTTTTTTAATATTCTGGAAAAGAGGGATAATAATGGTGTCTCCGACTCTCGGCATCATTGCGAGGACTAAAAGTGATGCCAGATATAAAGGGTCTGAGACCAGGAGCTGTGCATACCAGTGCCCCTTCTCCCCAGCTCCTGCTAGCATCCACCAACAACTGGTGTGTCTAGTTGGTTTGTTTGTTTGAGACAGAGTCTGTGTTGCCCAGGCTGGAGTGCAATGGTGCAATCTCGGCTCACTGCAACCTCTGCCTCCCAGGTTCAAGTGATTATCCTGCCTCAGTCTCCCAAGTAGCTGGGATTACAAGCACCCACGACCACACCCAGCTAATTTTTGTATTTTTAGTAGAGATGCAGTTTCACCATGTTGTCCAGGCTGGTCTTGAGCTCCTGACCTCAGGTGATCCACCCGCCTCGGCCTCCAAAAGTGCTGGGATTACAGGCGTGAGCCACCGTGCCCAGCCCTGGTGGTGTGTCTACTTTGTAAATGTCATCCAAATCTCCTCACTTCTCTCCAGCCCATGGCTCCCACCCTGGTCCAAGCACCACTATCTCCTGCCCAAGGCTCCTTCCTAGTCTCCTTGGTCTCCTTCCGCTCCTATCCCTGACAGTCAATGTTCCCCAACAGCAACCACAGGGAATTTTTTAAATGCCAATATTGACCAACTGTCTCTCTGGAAAACACACCTCTTACTCTCCAGGGTACCCCATGAGGTCTTGTGTGTGGTTTCAGCTCCTGCCCACTTCCCGGGCCTCCCCTCCCACCCTCCAGCCACACTGATCTGTGTTCAGCTCCTCACACACCTGATCCTCTTGAGTCTGAGGCTTTACTTCTGCTTGGAATGCCCTTCCCTGCACTCCCACTGGTTGACTTCTCTTCATCCCTCAGGCTAAGAATTTGTTTTACTGTTTTTTGTTTGTTTGTTTTGTTTTGTTTTGTTTGTTTTGAGACAGTCTTGCTCGGCTGCCCAGGCTGGAGTGCAGTGGTGCGATCTTAGCTCACTGCAAGCTCCGCCTCCCTGGTTCATGCCATTCTCCTGTCTCAGTATCCCAAGTAGCTGGGACTACAAGCACCCGCCATCATACCTGGCTAATTTTTTTGTATTTTTAGTAGAAACAGGGTTTCACCATGTTAGCAAGGATGGTCTCGATCTCCTGACTTCATGATCCACTTGCCTCGGCCTCCCAAAGTGCTGGCATTACAGGTGTGAGTCACCACGCCCAGTCTGTTTTTATTTTTTTAAGATGGTGTCTGGCTCTGTCACCCAGGCTGGAGTGCAATCTTGGCTCACTGCAACCTCCACCTCTCGGGTTCAAACAATTCTGCTCCTGAGTAGCTGGGACTACAGGTGTGCACCACAACTAATTTTTGTATTTTTAGTAGACAGGGTTTCACCATGTTGGCCAGGCTGGTCTCGAACTCCTGATCTCAAGTGATGGACCGGCCTTGGCCTCCCAAAGTGCTGGGATTACAGGCATCAGCCACCACACCCAGGCCCTCAGGCTAAGTTTAAATGCCTCTTCTTCCAGGTAGTCCTCCCTGAGCCCCCTCCATAAGGGGTCAGGAGCCTCCTCTGGGCTGCTCTGGTCTTCTCTATCACGGCATGATTACTTTGTCCTGTCTCTGGTATGATCTGTCTCCACCATCAGCCTATGGGCACTTCCTTGTGCATGGCTGTGTGCCTACTGTGTGCCCAGTACAGGGCCTGGCACACAGTGGGTGCTAACTTAGTAAATGCTTTCTGGATGAGGTCAAGAAGGGTTCAGATGGACCAACTGCTCTTCCTCTCCTGGGGCCGGCCCCTTTAATCCCCATCAGCCTTCTCACCTACCTGGGACCACTCTGTCTTTTCTCTGTCCCTTGAGCCTCGGTGGTGAACACCACATGGGTACTGGGCTCGACTTCTCCAGGTGGCACAAGGCGACTCGGCAGCGATGGCAGCAATGGGGTCCCCGAGAAGCCTCTCCGGATGATACCACCACCAAGGGGGGCTCAAAGGGGCCAAGCCAGAATCCACTAACTCCCAGATCCACAGGAAGAAACCAGAAAGACGTGAGCAAGTTCTTAGTCACGGGACCTCTCTAGGACCCTGAAATGCCCTCACCCAGACACCTGGACTGGCCTAGAGAGCTGTGTCTCAATCCTACTCTCCTGAGGGAAATTACGTCTCTGAGTCTCAGTTTCCTCATCTGTGAAGTAGGGATCTCAGACGTGGGGGTATATAAATAGTGCCTAGTCCAGGCCAGGTGCTGTGGCTCATGTAATCCCAGCACTTTGGGAGGCCAAGGCAGGTAGATCACCTGAGTTCGGGAGTTTGAGACCAGCTTGACCAACAAGGAGAAACCCCACCTCTACGAAAAATACGTTAGCTGGGCGTGGTGGTACATGCCTGTAATTCCAGCTACTCAAGAGGCTGAAGCAGAAGAATCATTTGAACCTGGGAGGCGGAGCCGAGACTGTGCCATTACACTCCAGCCTGGGCAACAAGAGCGAAATTCCATCTCAAATATAAAAAATAGGCCAGGCGTGGTGGCTCACACATGTAATCCCAGCACTTTGGGAGGCCGAGGCGGGTGGATCACCTGAGGTTGGGAGTTCTAGACCAGCCTGACCAACATGGGGAAATACTGTCTTTACTAAAAATACAAAATTGGCCAGGCGTGGTGGCACATGCCTATAATCCCAGCTACTAGGGAGGCTGAGGCAGGAGAATAGCTTGAACCTCAGAGGCAGAGGTTGCGGTGAGCCGAGATCATGCCATTGCACTCCAGTCTGGGCAACAAGAGCGAAACTCCATCTCAAAACACTAAATAAATAAATAAAAATAAAAATAAAAGATATAAATAAATAAATAGTGCCTGGTCCAGCTGGGTGCAGTGGCTCACGCCTGTAATCTCGGCACTTTGGGAGGCCGAGGCAGGTAGATCACGAGGTCAGGAGATTGAGACCATCCTGGCTAACACGGTGAAACGCCATCTCTACTAAAAATACAAAAACATTACTCGGGCATGGTGGCGGGCGCAGGAGAATGGCATGAATCCGGGAGGTGGAGATTGTAGTGAGCCGAGATCGGGCCACTGCACTCCAGCCTGGGTGACAGAGTGAGACTCCGTCTCAAAAAAAAAAAAAAAAAAAGGGGCCTGGTCCACAGTGGACATTGCAGAAATATTTATTTATTAACTAATAATAGCATGCTCAGTAGGGCACGGTGGCTCACGCCCGTAATCCCAATACTTTGAAAGGGTCGTTTGACCCCAGGAGTCCTCGACAAGCCTGAGTAACATAGTGAGACCCTATCTCTACAAAAAATAAACAAGATTAGCCAGGCATTGTGGTGTGCGCCTGTAACCTCAGCTACTCGGGAGGCTGAGGTGGGAGGGCTGCTTCAGCCCAGAAGGGCAAGGCTGTAGTGAGACAAGATCATGCCACTGTACTTTAGTTTGGGTGGCAGAGTGAGACCCTGTATATCTCTCTCTCTCTCTCTCTCTCTCTCTCTCTCTCTCTCTCTTTTTCTTTGAGATGGAGTCTCACTCTGTCAACCACATTGGAGTGCACTGGAACAATCTTGCCTTACTGCAACCTCCGCGTCCCGGGTTCAAGTGATTCTCCTACATCAGCCTCCTGAGTAGCCGGGATTACAGGTGCCTGCCACCAGGCCTGGCTAATTTTTTTGTATTTTTAGTAGAGAGGGGTTTTCACCATGTTGGCCAGGCTGATCTTGAACTCCTGACCTCAAGTGATCTGCCCACCTCGGACTCCCAAAGTGTGGGGATTACAGGCATAAGTCACTGTGCCCAGCTGAGACCCTGTCTCTAAAAATAAAAATAAATAAAAGAATATGTGGCCGGGCGCGGTGGCTCAAGCCTGTAATCCCAGCACTTTGGGAGGCCGAGACGGGCGGATCACAAGGTCAGGAGATCAAGACCATCCTGGCTAACACAGTGAAACCCCGTCTCTACTAAAAAACACAAAAAACTAGCCGGGCGAGGTGGCGGGCGCCTGTAGTCCCAGCTACTCGGGAGGCTGAGGCAGGAGAATGGCGTAAACCCGGGAGGCGGAGCTTGCAGTGAGCTGAGATCCGGCCACTGCACTCCAGCCCGGGTGACAGAGCAAGACTCCGTCTCAAAAAAAAAAAAAAAAAGAATATGTTTATTTTTATAACATATTATATGCTATATAATGTTATTTATTATAATGCTTTGTACCATAATGATATTCTATCATTTATTTTTTTCTTACATTTGAGATCCCAATATATTATTTATTAAAATATAAAAGTAAGGCTGGGCACGGTGGCTCATGCCTGTAATCCCAACAGTTTGGGAGGCCAAGGCAGGTGGATCATGAGGTCAGGAGTTCGAGACTAGCCTGGCCAACATAGTGAAACTCTGTCTCTACTAAAAATATGAAAATTAGCTGAGTGTGGTGGCACGTACCTGTAGTCCCAGCTACTCAGGAGGCTGAGGCAGGAGAATCACTTGAACCTGGGAGGTGGAGGTTGCAGTGGGCGGAGACCACACCATTCACTCCAGCCTGGGTGACAGAGCAAGACTCTGTCTCAAAAAAAAAAAAAAAGTAAAACAGTAAAACATGCAGTAAATAAGCAAATGAATAATAACGATAGTACTAATGGCTAACATTTTCTGCACAATCACCCTATATAAATGCGGTTCCAACAGTACGTGGATGGGCTCATGAAGGCATAATGAAGCCATTTAGCACCATTATTTCCATTTAACGAAAGAGGAAATGAAGTCTCAGAGGTTAAGTAACTAGAGCCCAGGGTTGCAATTCATAACTAAATGCAATCCTGAGCTTCAGTGCCGAGTTCCTTGAAGGAAGGACTGAACGAGAAATTAAATGAGATGCTGTTTCCCAGCAGGCTCTGGATAAATGCTGGATACATTTTAAGAACAGGCAGAACCAGGCTGAACAGATGCTTTGGGAGTGAGCTCTTCAGCGCAACAGATCTGGGTTCAATCCAGGCCACGTGGTCTAGGGCAAGGGGGCCTCAGTTTGAGCATCTGGGAAATGGAGATGAAAGGGGTATGATACCTCAGAGGTGTTGATGATAGAACAATGGGACCCACGTGCGCCAGACACAGGCTGTGTGCTGTCCGCGGTGCTGACCCCAGAATGGGGCATGAAACTGGAACTCACAGCTTTGGGGTAAGGGAATCAGAGAAGACAAATGTGGAGATGGGAGAGTTGGGGTTCAAAGAGATGGCC